GAGGGTTCGACCCGCGGGGTTGCATGGTCCTACGTGATTGGGGTGTTCGTTCAAGTGGTGCGTGGTTTTCCGCTCTCCACATTGATCCGAGCATCCCAACTACGCAGCCAATCACTTCGCGGTAGAAGACGGGATAAGGATCAAGCTGTAGGGGAAGACGAAGAGTCCGGCCTGAGGGAAATGCGCGCAGCAAGAGAGGAAGATGGTGCGGGGACGCAAAGCAAGAAACGGGGGTGCGAGACGCGCAAAGAAATCGGAGCTTAGGCGTGCGCGCGCAAAAATTCAAAAAGTCCCAACTGAAACCGTTTCTTGGTTGTCATACCATGACCGCTATTCCCCCGCGCGGGAGTTATTAGCCAAAAAAAAATGAAAAAGCCGTTTCAAAAAGAGAACAAAAGCAAAAAGAAAGAAAAACCCCTTTTTTTTCGCATCCGTACTTCGGGGCTTCCGGGGGATTTTTCCTCAGGGATACGGCAAGCCGTGCGGTACGGGTCTGAGCTTATCACATCTGTGATACGCAGGGGGTTCCGAAACATTAGCAGTCTCCTGACTGCTGATGTCATCATATTTTGGATGCTCGGGCGGGCTCTTCATCGTCAGCTGGCCCGAGCATCTCCTATCCTACTTTGATGCATTTCGCATCGTCAGCCATCTCCCTCTTATTATACATTCGATCGGGGGGCCCCTTCATCGTCAGCTGGCTTGATCGGTAAGTAGTCCACTGAATTTTTTTTATATACAGCGCGTCTCGACGCGCAAACTTTGGTCATAGGAGAAGGAGACGATGAAGAGAAGGAGAAGGAGAGAAGAGGGGAGAGGTAGACGAAGGTGATCAGAGGAAGTGATCGATGTCGGGATTGAGAAGGGGCGGAATAGGTGGAAGAAAAGCGGACATTGCCGCGGGAATCGTCGGCGCGTCTTCCTCATGGAAGTGGTGCTAGACGAACGAAGGATAGAGGAAGGCCCCTGGCACATGAGACAGGACACGTGGCCCCAGACCCGCCACCTCTCGCACCACCCGCTTGCGCACCGACCGGGGTCCAGGCCCCGTCATCACCATATGAGTCTCGGTGTAGGGTTGTCGCTCCCGCTTCTGCGCCGCGAAGACAAGGAAGTGATACACCACATTGGGACGCTGCCCGGTCTCGTAGATGAGCGTCCCTGCCAGTCGCGCCGCAATACACCCTTGAAAAGGGGGTGTCAGATATGGTTCCCACGCCGGATCAGGGCGCGGCGCCCCCGCGATGGCCTCGAGCCTGATGGTGGTGGGCTCCACCACGAAATCCACATCTGTCGGATGGACAGTCCGGCTCGGAGGAACTACTAATGTCAATGATCGGGGCACTCCGGGGTGGCGGGCGGAAGCGAAAAGGTCCCGCGAGGACGGGGGATCTGGATACGGGATCCGGTAATCCCATTCGGCTCCCTCCTCCGGCTGCTGCGGCTGATGGCCCGGCTCCATCGAGATTGAGATCGGGCACACGCGAGAAGGGCGGTGATGGCACGACGATCTCCTTAACCCGCGTCGCCGCACTCCCAGGCACCGGGTCAAGATTCCGCGTGCGCACGGGCTGAACCACCTCCTCGCCACCACCGATTTTGTTGCCTTGCGCTCCTGGCGACGGGTGGCGTCTCTTCCTCTTCGGCGTCTTCTTGGGGGCCTTTGGCGGCGCCGATCTGGGATACGACGAGGGAGGTCGCAACGGCTTTTCCTCCGGGAAGTCCTCCAACCTCTCCGCGCGCTGCGCAATGTAATCCGGGATGACGACCGCGTTGTACGTTCTCCGCGGGTGCAGCCGTCGTCTGCAATCGTGGCTGGATCTCCTCTTCCTCGCTCGCAATCACTTGCGCAATGGATAGGAGCTCAAGATGTATGGGCTCCAACAATCCCGGATCGATCGTCTGGAGCTGGGTGAATGGATACAGCGCCACCGTTCCCTCCTTCTGCGCTGGCTTGGGCCGTGTGATGACGTAGTAGACGACGAAGTGCTCCCCGATGGAGTGGTCTTCGTGATCCACGAAGAATCGGAACATCCCCAACGCCACCGACTTGTAGAGCGCACGGTGCAACTCCCACGCGTCTTCGTCTGCGAAGGGCAGCGGTTCCACATCAGTTAGCTCCACCAAATACTACGAGAACTCGCGCATAGGATAAGGGTCCTCCGTGAGTTGATAGGGGAGAGTGGTGTAAGAGAAGAAGGGAGGCATTTAGTACGGGGCAGGGGGGATAGCTTGGATGTTGAGAGGGACAGCGGGAGTCTCCCCATAGCCGGGTTCCATTGAAGGCGAAATCGGCTTCCACGGGATGAGCTTCTCGTTCGCGGGACTCTTGCTCGGTGGCTGGAGGCGCGTCAGACCATCGGCGTTCCCGTGCTGCCTGGTGGCGTGGTGGCGGATGTTGAAGTCGTAGTCGTGCAATCCCACCGCCCACCTTCCCAAGGTACCCGTGTAGTCCGTGTTGTTCCGCAACGATAGCAATGGCTGATGATCCGTCACGAGCACGAACTTCTGGCCGTACAGATACGGTTGAAAGTGCTGAACCCCCCACACCACCGCCAAGCATTCACCCTTGCACGCCTCGTAGGTTGACTGCGCCTGACTTAGTGTTTTCGACGCATATTCGTTGACATGCTCCCTTCCATCTGTTCCTTGCTGAGTCAGTACCGTCGATATCGTCTGCGGCTGCCAGTCGGTATGCAGCGCAAACTGTCGTGTCGGATCAGGACGCGCCAACACGGGTGCCGATGTCAGAGCCTCCTTGAGTACCCGAAAAGCCGCCTCGCATTCCGGCGTCCATCAGCTGCTCCTCCTTCTTCAGCAGGTTCGTCAGCGGCTTGGCGAGGAAGGCTCGAACCTGAGTGAGCGTGACCGGGGCCGGGGCTTCTCGAACCGCTCCTACCTTCCTGGGATCCGGTTTCAGTCCCTCGACCGTGAAGATGTAGCCCAAAAAGGAAATTTCGGACAAAAAGAACTCGCTTTTCTCCAGAGCCACTTTGAACCCCACATCTTTCAACTCATGCAACACCCATTCGACATGTTCCTCATGGTACTTGTAGGTTTTGGAAAAGACCAAAATGTCATCCATGTACACAATCACACAAAAATTTATCAACGGCTGTGTCAAACAGGTTTTGTTAACGAACTCAGCGAAGGCCATATTCATGGCCCGCTGGAATGTTGCGGGGGCGTTGCAAATTCCCATGGGACACCGGATCCACAACCACGTGCCCTCGAACAGGACAAAAGTGGTTTTGGGCCGGTCTTCCGGTCGGACCGCGGCGTGGTGAAAACCGTGTCGGATATCGAACTTTGAAAAGACCCGAGCGGACCCGATAGCATCCAGCAGGTCGTCAATCCGCGGTAGCGGATAGACATCTTTGGTAGTAATAGCGTTTAATTTGCGGTAGTCAATACACACTCGGACTGAACCGTTTCGTTTTGGCATGAGGGACCGGGCGAGGGCTAGGGGACTCATCTTACGAAAATCGGATTGCAAGTATGAAGCAGGCAAACAAGCAAACGACGTGTGTGTTGTTCTGTCTTAATTATGTGCTATTGTAGGTCGCCGAAGTTTATGGTGGGAATTGTTGACGATTGTTGTGTCCTGACTCTTCGTGTTTCTTTGTCTTTTGTCCCTATATGTGTTGTGCATTGTGCACAGTGTGTCCCAATCCACAAGGGTTATAATGCCTACGTCGAATGGTGATGCTCACCGGTCAGAACCTGGGGAGCATACCAGGCAAAACTCCTCTGGGGCTGTGCATTTGTCGGGTTCCGTGAGTCAACCTGCATTTTCTTCATCGCATGTCATGGGTCCCTCGAACCCTCTCCACGGTCCCCGTTCCTCTTTTCATGCGATGCGTACTCCCGTGACTCCACCGAGACCACAAATTTCACTCTTTCCATGGGGTGTGGAGTATTCTCGGTGTGCTGCTTCACCGCTCTCGACAATTCCTAACACCCCCACCATTCCCTATCATCCAACCCACATGCTCTCCTTGCACTTCCCAGCCTACATGTTTCCTGCCATTCCTGGCTTTGCACATGCCTATGGGGGAAACCATGGTGACCCACACTGCGTGCATGCTTCGGGTCCATATTTTGCAGGCACAACACCGAACACACCTGCCACTTCTCTCCCAATGACACATCACGTTCATCCAACGCACGAGATGATGCATGGATTGTCGTCGAGCCAACCTCATCACCCTTGTTAATCCCTATCACTTCGTCCTCATCACACGTGTCCTTCCCATTCACTTGGCCATCTGAATCAGGACTCTGATGTTACTCCACCATCCACACAGTTTGATTACCGCAGTCCACCTGTTCCATGGGCACCGGTGAGAACGCCCACCACAGTTGCCTCGTGGCGTGGCGAGGCCCTTGCAGATTCCACCCGACAAACGCACGAGTGCGACACAAGCACTCCCATCCATGTGGACGCCTCACTTTCGTTGGACAACACAGCATCACATGGATTGAGGACCACCGTCACAACGCCTTTGGATACGCCGCGTGGAATGCGTGAACGTGTCGAAAGTGCAGCAATTGATACCATCAGCGGCCGCACGCCATGTGCGTCGGACTTGCCATTGGGAGATATCCCAGCGGACGGTAGCCACGACTGCGACATTGGAATGTCAGGTGACACATACGACAACGAACACGTCGAGATAGCCTCATTGCGCAGATATATGACCTTCAAGGATGCGACATTCGTTGGATAGAGATCCCAATAGCCTCCAAAGCTTTCAGACAGCGGACCGTCAACGAGGATCCCCGCACACAACAGGTGTGGTCGGACGTGGAGACACACAGAAAAGCAACCGTCTTATGAATCCTCTGACCGTGAGGCGTTCTCATCAGGCGCTGATCTGACCAAAGCTGATGGTGCGATGCAGACTACACCTCCCACACAACAAACACTCACGGGGGATTTCAAACTGTTGGAAGTGGGAGGTCGTTATGAGTCTATGGATGCGTTGCGTGACGTGGTGGTGTTCTGCGCTCTAGCATCTGGTTTTGAGTTCCGCATCAAGAGATCGAATAAGACGAGGTACTATGTCACATGTGCTCACCCAGATTGCCCATGGTCATTGGAGGCCAAAGCAGCACATGCTAATGGACACACAGAGATTATTCGTCTGACTCCGCATCGCTCTGGTTGTAGAAAATCAGTCCAGCCCGGCATGAAACGCAACAAACACACGAAGCTGAGGTAGGTGGAGCTTATGGTTGAGAAGAAGTTGCGGGAGGACAGCGGAACGACTTCCACAAAGTTGAAGAAATGGTTTGACAAGGCAGTCAAGACCCACGTCAGCTACAGCAAGTGTTTGCGAGCGCGGACGTCTGTGCTTCGGACACTGAATGGGGCTCTGGAGAAGGGGTTTAGCGACTTGCGAAGGTACTGCAGTCTGCAGGGTGTTGCATGAAACAAACCCTGGGTCCATCGTCGACCTTGAGTGCGAGGGCAACGTCTTCGTTCGCATGTTTTTCGCGTTGGCCGCCTTTGTCAGTGGATTTGCACATTGTAGACCCTCGATTGTGCTCGACGGGGCACACATCAGAGGGAAATACGAGGGATGTCTTCTTGGCGCCACTGCTCAAGATGCGAATGGCCAATGTTTCCCCCTGGCGTACGCGATTATGGATGGCGAGAGGAAGACACATTGGAAGTGGTTTCTCATCCTCCTAAAGCACTTGTGCGCTGTAGAGAAGATAGACCACAAAATCGTCACAATAATGTCGGAACGGGACAAAGGGCTCATACCAGCGGTGAGTGAGGAGTTTGGGGATGAGCGCACGCATACTGTGTCCACCATGTTAGTGGGAACCTCCTGAAGAGCTTGAGGATGAAAAAGGAACAGGCGACGATGCTCCTTGAAGCGGCGAGGGCGACTTGCGAGGAGGTTTTCGACTACTACATACAGCGGCTCGCTGGATATTCGAGTCACAAGAACATTGTCGACAAAATCTTTGACAAAGCGGACAAAAGGCATTGGTGAGGCCCCCATTTCGTCCATCCAAGGTATGGTAAAGTGACATCATCCGTAGCCGAGTCCATGAACAACAAGATGTTGGAGGTTCGTGGAAAACCTCCAATACCAATGCTCGAGGGGTACAGGGGAATCGTGCAGACCTGGCATACAGAAAGGAGGGAAAAGGCTGCTGCAGAGAGGGGCGAATTCCCTTCGGCTGTGGAGAAGATCTTGAGAGAGACTGTGGAGTTGGCGAGGAAGTATGAGGTCTGAAAGGCATCACAAGAGGCGTATGAGATCATATGGACAGATGCGCACAAACGACATCAATCGTGGCTGGTGGAGTTCCTTAATGGCAAAGTCTTGTGCACGTGTCGCTTTTGGGGGGACAAACACCGTCCATGCATTTATGCTGCAGCAGCCATCACGGAACGAAACGAGGATATAGCGTGGTATGTGGACGCCTTTTACACCACGAGCGCCTTACAAGCATCGTATGAGGGTGTCGTCTTCCCGACGTGCTTCGGAAACACAAGAACGCCCATGGACAGTGAGGAGACCGTTCTCCCTCTCGCAACGAAGCGCCAAAAAGGGCGTCCTTCTAGTGGAAGTCGAATCAAGAGTTGTCTTGAGAATGAGAGGGTCAGCCAGCCAAGGGCAAACAAGCAGAAGTGTTCGCTTTGCGGGCTTACCGGTCATAATGCCCGCAAATGCAGCACACCAAGGCCAACTGGTGGAGTGCGTCCTGGCGACGTGGCCGTGGCGACGAATGTCATGCCTGCGCGTGACGGTCCAAACCGAATGCATACTTACAAGCATTTTGGGGACGAGCATGATCATCTCGGAGTCTTTAACTCTCATGCAGTGGATGACTTTGAAGTATATGTGACGGAAGCTCATGAGCATGAGGGGTTGTCCGACGAGGACAACGTACATGGAGAGGAACACGAGACAGACAAAGGGGTGGGCAAAGACGATGGTGAGGAGGGGGATGACGAGGACGAGAGTGAGGACATGGACGGGGACGACGGCGAGGAGTTGGACAAGGATGACAACAATGTTGAGGGGCGGGAAGATGACGAAAACGAGGAGGAGGAGGAGAAGGAGCAGATTAAGGACTCGAACGAGGACGCAGATGGCGAAGGTGAGGACAACGACAACAAGGATGGACAGGATGAAAAGGACGAAGAGGGAGATAAGGAAAATATGAAGGACTAGGACGATGACAAGGCGACAAGGATGGACAGGAGTTTGTGGAGAGAGAGGGAGAGGAGGTGGATGACGACAGCGACAGCGACGGCGGCGAGGATGGAGAGGAGAAAGAAGGAGAGGAGGTGGATGACGAAGAGGCAAGGACCACAGGAAATGACCATGGTCCCAGCGATGGTTCAACCCACCCTAACCGCTCGAACTCCCGTACCCTGTCCAAGGCCAGCTGTCTTTCCTTTAGGGAATAACGGTACGGTCGGCAATGTATCGGAGCGAGGTCACCGGTATCAATTGCGTGTTGGATCAGGTGGGTAAGTCCTATATCGTGGTCCTGGATACTAACGGCCTCTGGGTAGGCCCGTATAACGGCCAAAAGAAGGCGTTTGTAGTCGTCAGGCACATGGACCAGCAGTCGGACGTCCATGTTTCCCTCAAGGAGGGAGATCGTCGTCGTAGCCATGGGGACTGCCGCGTTGGCTTCGGGTGAGGCACCAAACAGAGAATTGTCGGTTTTTGCCGAAAGCACGGTCGCGATAAGTTGACTGTCTGCGGGCCTTATCGGTTCATTTTCCATGTCACTTTCGTTCTCGAGCTCCGTTTCAGCCGAGGGTTCCACTGAAAAGGCATGTATCAGCTCCTTCGGCCTCCATCGATATTCCCTCGTCCGGGGTTGAAATGACACCCCTTCCTTCAAGAGCAGGGCGGCTTTTGCGTTTGTAAGCAGGGGCCTGGGAGGCCGAAAAGTTAAATCGCACAACCCCCTGAGCTCCGTAAACCTTTCGGGTAGGGGGTCCGTTATACGATATAAGGACGCAGGGGGTTCCGAAAGGTCAGTTATTCGCGACACCCTCAGCAGGGGTTCCCCCTGCACTATTGAGGAAAACGAGGGCGACCAATCGAACTCGCTCCGAACTATTTCCAGGGGTTCTCGTCGCCAGGAATGGCGCAACCGATCCTGAACCCGGATCGGATATCGGTCGGGAACGTCAGTCTCGTCCGTTTCCGACGAGGTTTCATTTTCACCTGGTAACAGGCGTCGGATCATGTTGATTTGACGGGCTTTCGTGGTGATTCGAGGCGCCGGCTGGGTGCGCATACGCACCGCCAATCTCATCAATATCGTTTGTGGTTTGGGGTGGGCCGATGTGAGCACCACCTTACAGCTGTCAAAGTGCATTCGCGCTCCGACCGCCACCTGCCATGGAATGCCTAGCAGAACATCATACGGCCTGTACATCCAGCACAATTGCGTCGCACAAACAATGCACCCGCCCCACCCGTATAGGCACGTTCGTTATCCAACCCTTACAATGAATGCTGTCTTCCGTAGCTGATATATACAGTTCATCTGGTCAGGGGCTGAACATGTCCTTCCCTTCCCAATCGTTTCGGTAATCTCCAAGAAATGGCGACCGCTGACGATCCCGAGTCTAGGATGGCGGCCAAGGGGTTTCCCCAGACCTCGCAGTCACACTCAACGCTTTTCCAGGTTATAGAATAGGCTCGGAGCAATACCTCGGGTTTTTCCGAGGCAGAATCTACATTCTGGATCATTCCTATCCGGTTGGCTTCGTGCACCTTTGAGGTCGAGGGTTGTGATTCTTCGTTTGGGGGTAGGTCTCGTAGGACCGGCTCTTTACCCTTTCGACTTTCCTCGAATCGGCGCCTGTTTTGAGACATCGTTCGATCAACTTTTTGTTAGCCGCTTCAGAAATGGGTAGCAGATAGGGAATAGGGATGGGGATCCGCAGATCCAGAGCGTTCAATGCATCCAACACATCGATGTGACCGTCTTTGTACTCAGGGCCAGGCGCCGTGAGATCTTCGAACCCCGGCCGCCAAGGCCCGAGGTCGCTTTCCTCGGTAATCCTTTGGACGTGACGTATCACTCCAATGGTCCCGGGTTCGAACATCGCCGCAGCCATGTATTCGTCGGGCCCTATCTCGGTAGCCGCAGGGGTCACCATTTTCGTTGTTCCAGTATCCATCACCGTGGCTACCCTCCCTTGTCTTGCAGCGGTTGGAGCAGCCAACGGGATTTGGGAAGGTCCGGTGGGCCCCGCGGGCCCACTATGAGTTCGAGGTTTCGGACAACTGCAATGCGAGCTATCCATTCGCCCCGCTGCCCACCCAACCATTCCATACAGAACCCCGTGATTGCTATCTTGATATCCCGATCGGTCTGAAAGATGTCCAGCTGTGGTCTGAGGTTACCCCATCACCGTGATAGCTCCGATTGCACTAGTTCCTTTATCTGCGTTGTCATCTCAGGGCCCTCAATCCTTACTCCCTCCAAGACTAAAATGCAACGCTGCCACCAGAGCGCCCATATGGACTGCCAGGACCATGGCCAGGGGGTGTCGGGGGTCGCTTTTCTCCAAATATGGTCCCACCATCTCCACGTCAGCACAGTCACCGGGCATTGCATAAAGATGTGCTCGATGGTTTCGTTCCTTTTCCGCACCGGGAAGGCTGCCAAGCAGCGGTGGCACCACGGATGCGCTTTCCCTTTCTGTTCTAACTGTGTGTGATCAATCAGCCATGCGTTTGTCGGCAGGCAGCGATGAGCAATCTGCAATTGTAGTGAGGTGATTTTTGCTGGCGTAGCTTTCGTTTCCTTAAACCATTTAATGGGGGTGAGCAGGGATCGATCCACATTCATGTGCTGGGCCCATCTATCATTAATCCGGTCTCGGAGCACTCTTTTGGGCCTTAGCATCTTGTACATGGTTCTGACAGATACAGTGTCCAGGTGGACTTTTGGGTTTGTCTTCGCTGCTGCTCCCCGGGTCACCTGCCATTGCCATTCATCAGGGTCAATAGGTAATTCTTGTATCGGCGTTTGGGGGAGAAAGACTTTCAAACCCTGTTCCTCTCGCAGTACTCTAACCCGGTACACTTCAGGTTTGTCCCACCACTCGAAGGGGTCCCCAGATCCTTGAAGCCTCCCCCCCGGCCCGATTGTGAAGAGTTCTACCAACACATCGGATGTCCGTACCCGATGGATGTGGCCTATTCTTGAGTTTTCGTCCGTGCTGGCCACCCAGTCTCCGTCCTCCATGGTGGGGCCTTTTTTGAGCGCCCGGTGCCAAGCCAAAGGGATTGCTTCAATGATCGTCTCCAGGTTGTGCTCCGTATGGCAGCAGTACCTAAGGGTGCCTTGCAGCTGTGATGCTGTTTTCCAGTCTTTTCTCCCTTGATCCCAAAGATGCCCCACCCGGAGAACCCCATGCTTCACCCATCCCTTCCAGGGGGCTGTTGAACTGTTTAAGATCTGACCATGATGAGAGGTTATCCATCGGTTTCCAAAGAGCGGTTGCCGACTCACCTCCTCCCACCGCACCGGTGCCTGTTTTTCTGGAAGGGGGAGCCTGCACCAGCTTTTAAGTAATGATGGTCAGAACAGGTCCACTGGTTGGTCCTGGATTTTACGCGGGATTGACCAATAGCGGTCCTCCAACCATGTAAGCGGACTCACCTCAGGTGGGGCTGATGGTGCTAGGCGGGCGATGTGTTCCAGGGCTAGGGTCCACCACGGACTATCCACCGAGAAGATCAGCGTCTTTAACCATTTTAGGCGGAGGGCCTGGACTTGTGTTATGGGATCGATAATGCCTAGCCTACCCACCCTTTTTGGTTGTATGACTGACTCCCAGGCGACCCTGCTAATGACGTTGGCCCGTTCATTGTCGCCTCGCCATAGGAAGGCCGCCACTTTGGATCTCAGCTTCTGAAACGTCGTCTTGGTCAAGGGCCAGAGCACCGACTTATACCACAGTGTTCCAAACACCACATTGTTAATGGGTAGCGCGCGACCGAAGATAGAGGTGTGCTTGTTGCGCCAGGTGGACAGCTTGGCTAAGGCCGGTGCCGAGATCCAGTCATCATTTAAGGGTGGGCGCCCCAGGGCCGTGAGTGTAATTCCTAGGACTCAAATGGGGGCCTGTAAGGGGAGCCAATGAATGTTAGGCAAGTCAGGTGGCCGACCCCCTTGGTGGTGGATCCACCAGCCCTGTGTCTTGCTCCCCAGTTCACCACCATGTCAGAGACTTGGGCGAACTTGTTCATGAGGCCTTGGATCTCCCTCATGTTCTCCTGAGTGGCATCCGCTAAGATGGTAAGGTCGTCTGCGAACAGCGAGCATATCGGGACCGCCTTCTCGGGAATTCCTGCAATCTGGATTTTTTTGATGTTCTTATTAGCCCGAAGGTTGGCCGATAAGGCTTCCATGATGATGAGAAAAAGGAAGGGCGCTATAGGGTCGCCTTGGCGCACCGACCGTTCCAACTGAATTGGGGGGGCCAGGATCCTGTTAACTTGCACCCTCGTGGTGGCATTGCGGTGCAAGATATGTATCCACCTACGGAATACCGGTCCAAAGTTCAATTTTTCCAGGCATTTGTCGAGAAAGAACCAGTCCACATGATCTTAGGCCTTTTCAAAATCGATGAAGACGAGCGCTGCATTTTGCTTTGACTGGCGGGACAATTGAAGCACCTCATTGACCAGCAGGATGTTTTCATGGATTTGTCTTTGCTGCATGAACCCTGTCTGTAAGGGGTGGATCACCTGCTCTAGGACCTGGATCATCCTATTCGCCAATGCCTTGGCGAGCATTTTATAGGTGACCGTCAGAAGGGTGATTGGTCTGTAATTTTGTATATTGAATTTGTCCCCCTTCTTGTACAAAAGGGACAGTACCCCTTGCCCGACCAATTCTCCCATATCCCCTGTGCGTCATACCTCATTATAGTATTCCATTAGATCAAGGTTCATACAATCCCACATTGTTTCCCAGAATCCCTTCGGCAGACCGTCTAGGCCGGGGGTTTTTTCCTCATCCATCTGTAGGAGGGCCGTCCATATTTCTTCCTTGGTCAGGGGGACTTCGAGCTGCTCCTTCTGTTCGGGAGTAAGAGCTCTGTCCATGGGTTGGAGGAAGTCTTCAACCTGCCTCCGTCGAGACTCCATGTCCACAGGGTGAATGTGAGTGTCGAAAAGGTCCTTAAAGAAGTCTCGTGCGATTTTAACGCATCCGGCCGTTGTGGTAACGGGGTGGGTATCAGGCCCCCCTGGTCCGTACAGTGCT